ACACTAGACTACACATTTTTTGACAGATTTGCATTTCCATTGCTTAGCACAGTGTCCAGCATACAATAAGAGCTGAATAAATATGTGTGAAGTGAATGTTGTTGAAAAAGTTCATTAGAGGTAAAAGGCAAAACTAGAGTGTATAAAGAGAGTGTAAAGAAAGATGGAAAGAAGGTGAGGACTGAACAATAGGCTGATAGGTGAGAAGAAGAGGACCTGGGGAAGGGAACAAAGAAGGACCAATTTGGAAGAAAATCTGGAGTATATCTATATGGTCTTGGAGGCAAAGGGGAAGAGAGAGCTTCAAGTTCCAAAGAAGGGATACTCTGAGCCATCAAACACCCAAGGAAAGCCCTCTCCAATGCATCCTGCACGTGGAGGGCAACACGGTGCATTGAAAAAGCCCAGGCTTTAAACAAACTGAAGTCCGACCCTCAGTCCCACCACTTAATAGCCAGGTATTCTAGCAAGTCACTTAACTCAAGTTACTTAATTCCTTTGAGACTCAATTTCTAATTTGTCAAATGGCGCCTACTGTGGCAGAGAGGTAGTTGAGACAGGAAGCCAAAAACTGAGAGAACTATTTTCATTAAAAATGTTCTATATTGGTAGCCCACTATCGGTGAGTGGCAGATGCATTCTTTTCCAATTCTTCACAGAACACCACATAAAACTTGGAAACTCTCAGGACTTCAGGCCATCGACAGTGATAGCCAATGGAACTGATGCTACCTATCAGCAGTGAAGGGCAATGATGACATTCACAAAGCCTGGGGAAGCAGTACCAGTGCCAACAACCGACAGCAGTGCATGGCAGATACAGTGGTATCCAGCAAAAATGGTCACTGGCTGACTGTGAATGCATGTGAGGTCCACTCTGAGGACTCCCAGAAATACTGTGGGAGGAGGGAGCTTTGAAGAGCCAATATCCTGCATTATTAAGTAAGAGCAAGATCCAACAAAACTCAGGTTATATTGCAGTGGACAATTGTAAGGATTCAAGTGATGCATAGAAAAGCACCTAGCAGAGCACCTGGCACTTTGGCGGAACTCAGGAAAGATGGTTTGTATTGCTCTTATCCTATGACAAAAGCCAATGACATATCATCACAAGCCTTCTGCTTGCTTTTTACAAGCTTTTTACAAAGACTATGTTTACCTTGTCTTTGCCTATGTTTATCTCATTCTAAAATTCAACCAAAAGACCAGACTTCTTCCTCATAGCTGTCCATCTGTTTACCCTACCCGTTCTCGACTTAGTTCTTTCCCCTATCTTTGGAGAGATTCCAAATGTTGCAAAATGTCAGAGAGATCCAATAGAAAGATTTTACTTCACTTAGGCAATAAAACATTATATTCTGGACTTATTTGCAATGGAAATAAGACCATCTGTTCTCATTTCTAACTCCTTTTCCCTCAGGCAGAATCTGCTATCTCTTGAGAATTTCCTCAAAATGTTTGAAATACTGGCAAGAGACATTTAATGAGGGCCCAATAGGATCTTCTGCTTTCCTGTCTCTTTGCTAGGAACTGAAGTATTTTATCTAATCCACATGTGTTCTGTAGAAATAATTGAGCTCCTACATGTTTCTAATGTTTTCTGATGATAACTTGCTCTCTCAATATCCAAAAGATAACAAGTTACAGGAGTATGCATCATTTTTAAAAAACAGCTGCTCTTATATCATTTTTATATGCTTGTCTTTATAACATTTTTATTACAAGTTACATTATTCTGTTTCACTGTAAATATTGTTCACAATTTTAAAATATTTATCAACTCTGCCATGTTCTACAAGTTCCTCACAGCAACAATTAAATTTTATTTTTGATGTATTGTTAACTTTAAAAAAGAACTTATTTCATAATGCTTATGAGATCACTTAAAGTTGTTTGAGGAATGGGCCTGCATAAACTTGATAGAATAGAGTCACTATATTTTTCTATCAAAATTGACCTTTAAAGATACTATAAAAGTAGAATGAGACATTTAAAGGGGGAACTGTAATGCCATGCACACCAAAAACTAAATTGACAAAATATAAAAGAATTACATTTCCTAACAATACAACTGAAAAACAGTGTTTCCTGCACAAATCTAAAGGTTTCCAATAAGGACAGGCAATGGAACCCTCGGTGCTATGATTTGAATATCTGTGTCCCTCCAAAATTCATATTGAAACTTAATCTCCAATGCAATAGTATTAAGAGGTAGAGCCTTTAGAAGGTGATTAGGTCAAGAAGGTTCTTACCTTGTGAATAAGATTTAGGCCCCTATAAGGGAGGCTTTTCACACAGCATTTGGCCCTTTCGCCTTTTTGTCCCTTTTACCAGGTGAGGACACAACATTTGTTCCCCCTAAAGAACACAGCAATAAGGCACCCTCTTAGAAGCAGAGAGACTAGGCTCTCACCAGATACCAAACCTGCCAGTGCCTTGATACTGCCAGAGCCTCAATCTTGGACTTCCCAGCCTCCATAACTATGAGAAATACATTTCTATTGTTTATAAATGATTCTGTCTGGTATTTTGTGATAGCAGCACAAATGAACTTGTACTGAAATTGTATTGAGAAATGGGGTATTTGCTATAACAAATACCTTAAAATGTGGAAGCAGCTTTGGAACTGGGTGATGGGCAGAGGCTGGAAAAGTTTTAGAGAAGCAAGCAAAAAAAAAAAAAAAAAGCTGTAACAGAGCATTAAGGGCAATTCTGGTAAAAACTCTGCTATAGTTCGAATATTTGTCCTCTCCAAAGTCCATGTTAAAATTTAATCCCCAATGTGGCAGTATTGAGAGATGGGGCCTTTAAGAGGTGATTGAGTCATGAGGGCTCGCTCTCATGAATAGATTAATTAATGAGTTAATGGATTAGTGGATTAATGGGTTATCATGGGAGTGGGGCTAGTGGCTTTATGAGAAGAGGAAAAGAGACCTAAGCTAGCATGCTCAGCCCCTCACCATGTGATGCTTTGTACCACCTGAGAACTCTGCAGAGAATCCACACCATTAAGAAGTCCCTCACCAGATGGGGCCTCTTGACCTTGGACTTCTCAGCTTCCAGAGCTATAAGAAATAAATTCCTTTTCTTTATAAATTACTCAGTTTCAGGTATTCTGTTAAAAGCAAGAGAAAATGGACTAAGGCTCAGAAGAAGGAGATATAGAGAAGCCCCAGTCTTCTTGGAAATTATCTAAGAGGTCAGAATGCTGGCAGAAATAGAAGCACTAAAGGCCATTCTGATGAGGTTTTATATAGAAATGAGAAATATCTTATTGGAAATTGGAAGAAAGGCCATTCTTATTATAAAGTAGCAAAGGACTTGGCTAAATTGTGTCCATGCTCTAAGGTTTTTTGGAAGACAGAATTTAAGAGCAAGGAAATAAGATATCTGGTGGAAGAAATATCTAAGCAAAATGTTGAAGGAGCTTCATGGCTTCTCTTGATTTCTTATAGTAAAATGAAAGAGAAAAACAATTTAAGGATGATTTATGATTAAAAAGGAAGTAGAGAGCTCAGGGGCTATTGGGACCTCAGTACTCCCTGCACCACCTCAAGTCTCTGCTCCTCACATTCAGGCACAGCACTCCTTGGCTGTCCAAGTTGTGGCTCAAGCAGGCCCAAATGTGGCTCAGGCTACCCCTCTGGAAGGTGGGCCATAAACATGGTGCTAATTCTGCAAGATCACAGAGTGCTAGAGCTATGGGGGCATGACTACCTCTCCCTAGATTTCAAAGGATGCCTCCGAGAGCCTTGGTGCCCAGACGAAGAACTGCCACAGAGGGCCCCAAGGAGAGCAATGCCTAAAGGAGCTATGATGTTAGGGTTACCACAGAGAGTCCCACTAGGATGATGTCTAGTGGAGCCAAGTGGGTTTTTCCCAAGACACTAGACCTGTAGAGCCACCAACATGAAACTCCAGCCTGGGGGAGACACAGGCACAAGACTCCAACCCTTGAGAACTGCCACGTGGGCTGTGCCCAGTGAGGCCATGGGGGCAGGGTCTCCTGGTGCCTTGGGAATCCAACCTCTACCCCAGTGTACCCAGTGTACCCCAGTGTACCTAGAAGGCAGGACATAGAGTCAAAGAAGATTATTCTCAAGCCTCAAGATTTAATGCTGTTTTCCTTGTTGTTGGGTTTTAGACTTATTTGGGACATGTTATCCATTTCTTCTTTCCTGTTGTTCCCTTTTGGAATGGGAATGTCTATCCTATGCCTGTCCCACCTTTGTATTTTGGAAGTACATAATTTGTTCAATTTCCTATCCATAGCTGGAGGACGGATTTGCCTCAGGATGAATTGTACCTTGAGTCTCACCCATATCTGATGTAGATGATATTTAGATGAAACTTTGGACTTAGACTTTAAAACTGGTACTGGAAAAAATTAAAACTATCGGGAGCATTGAGATGGAATGAATGCAATTTGTATGCTAACAGGTCATGAATTTGGGGGAGCCAGAAGTGAAATACCATGGTACATCACATGTACCCTATAAAGATATACAATTATTGGCCAGGTGCGGTGACTCACGCCTGTAATCCTAGCACTCTAGGAGGCCGAGGTGGGTGGATTGCTTGAGCTCAGGAGTTCAAGACCAGCTGGTGCAAGAGCAAGACCCCATTTCTACTAAAAATAGAAGGAAATTAGCCAAACAAGTGAAAAAATAGAAAAAATTAGCTGGGCATGGTGGCACATGCCTATAGTCTCAGCTACCCAGAAGGCTGAGGCAGGAGGATTGCTGGAGCCCAGGAGTTTGAGGTTGCTGTGAGGTAGGCTGATGTCACAGCACTCTAGCTCAGGCAAGAGAGTGAGACTCTGTCTCAAAAAAAAAAAAAAAAAAGACATACAACTATTATATGCCCATAATAATTTTTTCAAAAATATAATTAATTAAAAAAAAAAAGAGGTAGAGCTTTTGAGAAAGTTCCTTATAAAAGAGCTGGAGGGAACTCACTTAGGTCCTTTTTTCCCCTTTTTGTCCTTTCCACCATGTGAGGACTCAAGGAGACTTGTATCCTCCAGAGGATGCAGCAACAAGGAAGCAGACAGACCAGGCCCTCATCAGACATTGAACCTGCTGGTGCCTTGATCTTGGACTTCCAGCCTCAGAACTGTAAGAAATAAATTTCTGCTCTTTATAAATTACCCATTTTAAGGTATTTTGTTATAGCAGTACAAATGGACTAAGACACTCTGGTAACAAGAAGGGATAAAATAAGGCAGGTGGTTGTTCTAGACTAGTTTGCTCATCAGGTTCTAGGATGTTTAGTTGTCCCAGCTGACCCTCTGACCATTCTTGAAAACCTGATCTCCCAAATCCTAAGGAAAGAGGTGCTTCAGAGGATCAGAGTGGTGGACTGCAGCAGGGAATTCGCGTTTATTGAAAATTATCATGACTTCAAGCCTCTTAGTTTTGGCCTTCAGAATCTAATCATCTTCATAGGATATAGATATAGATAGAAATAGAAATAGACATTCTATCTATAGACAAAATATACAAATTTGACCATTTTACTACAAATTATCCTAATGGAAGATCATATCAATTATTGAACAGGAGGATTTTATGTAGGCAGCATGTATTTTTATTTTATTCATGGATAATCAAGAACTCTACAACTGTTGTAATGAGACACAGAACAGCAGTTGATTTGAGATTCTCTTTGCCACTACAAATTCAATGAGCAAAGAAGGCTTATGAAAAAAACCACAGTAATAGATGTAAATAATCAAACAAAGGAGCAATGGCTAAATAGTATATCCTTATTTATTTATACTGAAATTATAATTTTTATATCAAAGTAGCTATTTAATTACATAGTCCTAGAGTTTAAAAAAAAAATCTCAGACCCTTTGATAATTTTATGGCTTCATTATATCAGGAAAAATTTTGGTAATTAAGACTTTTAATATCTCCAGCCTTAATTCCAAATGGGAGCATTTGAACAGGCTCATATAATCTAGAAATTGGGTGACCACATAATTTACTGTCCAAACCATGACAGTTTTGAGAGAGAAAGAGGGCACTAACCAGATGGCACATGAGGAGGGGAGGCATAAGCTAGTGCTGCCCAGGCAAACCAGTGTGCCTGCTCCTTCCAGTCTAGCTGGAGACAAATCCTTGCCCCCATCTCGGCTTTCCACAGTTACTTCCCAATTTCAGCCCTGTACCACTCCCATGGCACTAAGGTAGTATTGAGGGAGAAGTCTATCTTTCATCCCTACCAAATTTCCCCCCTAATTCAAAGAGGCTATCTTTATCTTGCCTTTGAGAGATTTCTTTATCAGTAACATTCAGCCCTGCCCACATGTCCAGCATCAATAAATCAAATGACTATCAAATTATATATATCATATCTGTCAACTAGGGAAAAGTTAAAAGACTTTCAAAGACTAAAGACAAAAGAAATTATAGGTTATCACCTGATGACTTTGTTTAAAATGTGGTTGGGGGATGCGGAGAGAATGGAACACTCCTACACTGCTGGTGGGACTGCAAACTAGTTCAACCTCTGTGGAAAGCAAATGGAGATACCTTAAAGCGATACAAGTGAATCTACCATTGCTGGGCATCTACCCAAATGATCCAATGACACTCTACAAAAAAGACACCTGCACTCGAATGTTTATAGCAGCACAATTCATAATTGCAAGGCTGTGGAAACAGCCCAAGTGCCCATCAATCCAAGAATGGATTAATAAAATGTGGTATATGTATACCGTGGAGTACTATTCAGCTCTAAGAAACAATGGTGATATATAGCACATCTCATATTTTCCTGGGTAGAGCTGGAACCCATACTACTAAGTGAAGTATCCCAAGAATGGAAAAACAAGCACCACATATACTCACCAGCAAACTGGTATTAACTGAGCAGCACCTAAGTGGACACATAGGTACTACAGTAATAGGGTATTGGGCAGGGGGGAGGGAGGGAGGGGGCGGGTATATACATACATAATGAGTGAGATGTGCACCATCTGGGGGATGGTCATCCTGGAGACTCAGACTTGTGGGGGATGGGGGGAAAGGGCATTTTTTGAAACCTTAAAATCTGTACCCCCATAATATGCCGAAATAAATAAATAAATAAAACAAAAATAAAATAAAATAAAATGTGGTTGGGGATAATGTCTATGACGTATTAATGTGTTATTTTTCTTTGATGCTTTCCCATCTCTCAGCACTTCCCTCTGTCATTGCCTCAAGGAAGGGATGTTCCCGAAGAAAGTAGAGATAAACAGAGCCTCTTCCTAGCTTTTGAGTTTCAAAACCTAGGCTCTGAGGGAAACTGAGCAGAGATACAGGGCAGTCTTAAAAAAAAAAAAAAGAGAAAGAAGAAAAGAAAAAAAGATAAGAACCTGGCTTCAGGTCTGAAGGGAGAAAGGAAAGGAGAGTCAAGGTGAAGCAAGGAGAGCTTTGATGATTGGTCCCTGAGAAAAGGGCAGAAAAGGGCGTCTGCCCTTCCTCATCCCACCCTCAGGTCAAATTGAGAGCTGGAGGAGTCTGCAGAAACCCTGGAGAGGTTTAGGAGCACCAAGAACAGGGATAACATCCTGCAGGTGATAAGAACCTGAAGAAGAACTGGCTCCTTAGACAGCATCACCCACATGCCCCAGTGTGGTGCAGCAACCATGCAACGACTTCTATGGGTCCTAGAGGACACAGATGTGAGAAATGGCCCTAATGCCCTTACAGAGTTTTCACTCCCTAGCGTGTCATGGGACAGCCTGACTGAGCAGTAGAACAATTGCTGCATGCCCAAGAGGAGGGGCTTGACCCTAAGGGGCTCTAGGAATGAGCTTAAGAGGTGACCAAGGATAACCTGAGTGGAGCACGGACCGAGGATCCAATGAGGCAGTGGTAGCCCCAGAGGATGTCAGCTTAGCCAGATAACACCAAGGATATAATGTCCAGTCATGAACCTCGTACCCTGGCAGTCCTGGAACATAGGTACAACTGTGGGAAAAGGGAAGGGAAACCCCAATTTAACTGAAATTATGTTTCTGCCATCCAAGGGAAAGGCTCAAAACAGAACTTAAGTTGAACTAGAGAAATAGAAGGACATATATATTTCTTGTACATCTGTGTTTGCAGATGAGATTTGAAGCTAGTGCACAGAGAGACAAGGACAGGCAGGATGAAAGCACTGTGGTGCAACCTACTTAAAAAGAACAATGGGGGAGAATATAAACTAAAGCAGCTTTGAATCTAGACTCCTCCACTCACCAGTGAATTCACATAGCTCTCCTGTGCCTCCATTCCTTCTAAAGCCACCTGAATACACTGTTATCGTGTCCATTCAGTTCCACCTCCTCCACACCCTCCCCTGTGGCCACCTTCCATCCCTGTGGCCACTGCCTTAGCCGAGGCCCTCATCATTCCCCGTTCACACTAATATACTGACAACAACAACAATAAAATAGCATTTATTTGGGCCTCGTTATGTGACAGGTATTGTAGTGTGTTTTATTCTATTAACTCTTTTAATTATCACATCAATCCTATGAGGTAATATTATTTTTATTCTCATTTCACAGATGAGAAAACTGAGGCACAAAGAGATTAATTGCCCATTTACTGCCAGAAAATGGTGAAGCCCTGGGCTGTCTGTCTCCAGAGTTTATACTTTGAATCCACCTACACATACTGCCTCCTGTTAGCTTCCTAACTCTATCTGTATTGTGTCCCTCCCCTAATACTATTACCTAAATAATCTTTCTAAACCATGTCTGAAAAGACTACACCTTTCATAAAATCTTCCAATGGCTCCCCATCATTTTTAGCATAGAATTTTCAGCTCTTGCCTACCTGTTCAGGCCCATCCCATAAGCATATTTCCCTGGCAGAATAAAACTAGTAACAGTTATTCTCTGCCCCAAATGAATGTACAGGACACTACACACACACTCTCTCTCATTCACCCCAATTCCCACTCACTCTTTTTAAGAATCCACATAATGTGAATCCTGACTTTAAAAGCACTTTTTTTTCAGCATCCTATCCCAAAATATATACTATTAAATTCTAATTAATAACTTTCTTGTCTGATGAGTGATTTTGGGGGGTCTACCTTCCTCACTACCCTGGGAGTATCTTAAAGTCAAGACTATATTTTGTTTGTTTGGGGCTTGGAATGTAGTAGGCACTCTATTGTTATATAAAATAAATGATCAACAATATCTTTTATATCCTCATCTTTTCTGCCTGATTCAACAATAATTTCATAAATATAAATTGGGCATCCACTAAATGCCAGGCACTTTGGCATATATTTTTAAATTCAGTTGTGCCAGCAATATTGTAAGGTAGAAATTATCATTCCAGTTTTAAAGATAAAGAAAACTAAAGCTGAGAGCGTGCATGTAGAACAAAACAAGATAATAATAGTTTATCTTGCAAGATTTTTTTAAAATTAAAGATAACATAAATAAGTACCAACTGCTAAATCCTGAACATAAAAGTGAGTCATTAACTGGTGATCCTTACAATTATTGATCAGTGATAAGTGCCATGGTTTATTAGTGTCTCCTAGCTACATATCAGTGCCGGTCCAGATGCACCACAGCTGCTCATAATTTTAAATTAATGGCTTGCCTTCTTTTCCTAAGACCATTACTTCCTTTCTTCAGTGTTCATTCTAATCCTTGGTGCAATGCCTTGGTTCCCACAAGGTCCACACTTTTAATTTCTGGAGGTCATTTCACAAAATGAGACATAGCTCTTCTCTGGGGACTTCCTGACCCCACTTTGGGGAATACATTCTTACATTTTTCCCAGCATTTAAAAAGAATTTCCTTCCTGGCCTTAAGGAACTGAATACTGCCCACTTCTTGTCATTTTTAGAGTTGATGGGTTGCAGCCTTGCCTGAGCACAGTCAAGCTAGCACAGCTATTAAGGACTGTGAAAAACCAGATGGTTCTACTCAGAAGAATCCCTTAAACTCAGTTTTGTGTTTCAGTTTTTCTCAACTGTCACCTGGAAATGCTCATGCTCTCTAATGCTCATAGAGTAGCATAAAATATTTGTTTCCCCCTGTGGGGTGGGACTCCTGCCAGCCAACACAAATGAGCAGTCCTTCCTAGAGCACCAGCTCCAAATATGTCCCACT